CAGAAGAGTAGGGAAATTTGTCTTTTACAAACTAGATGCTGGGTAGAGGGAAGAGAAAGATTCACTTCCTGTGATATTCCCCAAATCTCAAGTCAATTATTTATTTAAGGTTTACTTATTTTGAGAGAGAGAGAGAGAGAGAGCAAGAGCACATGCAAGGAGTGGTGGTGGGGGGAAGGGCAGAGAGAGAGAATCCCAAGCAGGAGACAGCAAAAAGCGGATGCAGGGTTCAGTCTCACAAATCATGAGTTCATGATCTGAGCTGAAATCAAGAGTTGGACACTTAACCAACTGAGCCACCCAGGCATCCCTCAAATCAATTATTTTAAAGGGGCCACTAGTCAGCAGGGATAAATCACCTAGATGAATTAAAATCATATCCTCTTTGGTAGAATGCATTTTCCATCCAGACTTAAAATGATTATTACAGATAAGTTTCCGTCTTACAGAAAAAAAATCACAAAATGTGGGACACTTGGGTGGCTCAGTCGTTTGAACATCCAACTCTTGATTTAGGCTATCATGGGATCTAGCCCTACATTGGGCTCTGTACTGACTGTGGAGCCTGCTTAAGATGCTCTCTCTCTCCCTCTGCCCCTCTTCTCTGCTCGTGCTCTCTCTCTCTCTCTCTCTCTCTCTCTCTCAAAACAAACAAACAATCATGGATCGAAAGCACCATGCATAAGAACCAGCAGAAAAAAGAAACAGCCAGCAAGATTGTACTTTGCATATGTTTTAAATGTTAGAATTATCTGATACAGACTATGAGTGTACCTATCCTTCGCTCATGTTTAATTCACCTTCCTGGTGAATAAATGGAAAGCCACTAAATTAAAAAAACATTTTGCTTAATTTTAACCAGAAAAATCATGATGCATGTTATCCAAACCAAACAAAAAATTCCAGATAGAAAAACATCAATTTTTCCACGAAATAAGTTTATGTAATTAAAAATAATTTGTAACAAGATACATAGTTGTATATAAACTTTAATGTAATGAAGACTTATCATAAATTTTTCTTTCTTCTGCACCATTTCCATAACCCATTTTTCTTGCAGAATAACACCTTTAGTTAACGTTCCTATGACTTACAAGGCCTTATAGGACCCAACTCCTTCCAGGACCTTTGAACTCTTTCCTTCCTATTCTTTCCTTGGTGTCTGAACTCTGGCCCACTGGCTTCTGTTCAGATCTTCACACTTCAGATTCTTCTGTGGCTTGGAATTGTCAGATCTGTGGCTCCTACCACCTGGAATGTAGCCTCTGACACTCTACCTGCCTGGCTCCTTGCCAGTATTCTAATCCCAGATGATGTCAGAGGGATGCAGAGATGCCTCCTTCACTGCTCTGTGGGAGTTAGTCTCTCTTCTACCGCACCCCTACCCTCCAGCACTTTCCGTTGGCCATACTGAGGAATCATGAAGGAAGACCCAGAGATACTGCAACTCTGTACAGCAAGGGAGAGAGCAAAAGGTAGAGGACTTTTGCTGAGTAGGGGATGATTCGCAGGACTGCTCAAATTGGGACCTCCAAGCTGACTGAGGTTATTTCCTTAGGGAAAAGACAGGATGACATTAATTGGGTCAATGTCTTGGGGAGTCCAGATAGCAACTGCGACCTGCCTCGCCTGTGAATACTACCTGCAGCTCTTAGTAAGAGATGCTTTAGATGTGCCCATTCACTTAGCCCTGACGTGGGTCACTTCATTTCACTTCGGTCCAAGAATTCCCAGGAATGCTGTATGTGGTCATTCTGCCACATCCTCCAACCTGAGGCAGGGGGAACTTAAATGGACTAGACTGGACTTGGGACTATACACCACTCAGACGCTGATGTGTTTGCCTCCCGCTGGGAGCCCACTTCCAGGACTTCAAAGTTAACTTTGCTATGTAAGTTCATATTTGGCCTACAGGGCCTCATCCAACATCTGGCTCACACCTGAGAACCTAGCACTTATGAAGGTCATTCTAGCTGCTGTGTAGAACATGCATTGGAGGTGAACATGATGTCCAAGCTCCTAGGTGGTCCATCTGGCATTGAACTTGAACACTGCCTGTAACTGGGATACAGATGCAGGAAACAAAGTCCTGTTGGATACTCATTCCATATACATTTTGTGGAATCCATTTCATTATGTTTACTAATTGTGTGATTAAGATATTGTGTGATTAAGATAAATTCTTGTAGGGTTTTACCTTTGTTTGTCTAACTTAAAATGCTAAAGAAGTGTCCAATGTATCCAATGATTTCTCAAGAGTTACCAAAGGGTTGACAGAGAAAACATGATTTGGGTCAGTTATTTTGTTTACCACATAGCCATTTCTCAGCCCCAGAAACTCAAAGTACAAGGTGATACCCCACCTCTACCTAGGGCTTAGCTCCACTGTTCACGTAACTTTGATTCCAAGTTTCCTTCTTAGTTTAACTGAAGGAAATGGGGTTTAAGTGAGCATGTGATAAGGATAGTGGTTAAATGGGTTAGACCCAATCTTTGCCCTTCTTGATTTGACAGGCATGGAAGTCCCACTCCATTTTTCCTCATATGAAAAGCCCCCGTAAGCTCAATGGGGGCCTGGTCTTGGGCTGCGGTCACTTTAGAATGTCCCTTAGCCCCGCCCAGCCCTGCCTTCTCTCAGACTTCAGTCAAGGGATTTTCTGTGCCCTCCAGGTGATCAGCAAGAGGAAATTGCTCTCAGCTGTAGCAAACAGCTTTCTGGGGGAGAATATGCATCATCCCCCCCCCCCCACCTCCACTGCTGCCCCACACACTATGGCATTTTCCTGCCATAATCTGTGAATAAACCCAAGAGATCCTAAGTAATACCAGTTCCTGAAAACACTTTGTCCTTCCACCATCCGCAATGAATTAATCCCAGAACTCCATCAGGAAACAAACAGAGGTTAAAAATCTGCTTTTAGTACTGTGCTGAGTGAAGTATTTCACATCATTACTTTAGTCAATATTAAAAACTAGATTCAAAGGTAACAGCTCATAACACTCCAAAAATTTTTGATTGAAGGCATTATTCGTAACCCATTGTTATGTAACACTCATTCATTTCCAAGGAGTTGGATGTTAGAATACACAGAATGAATAAATAGAATACATCGTGGACAGCCAAGATTTATCTTCATTGAAAAAATTAATTTGTCTTTAGTATAGTTAAGTAAGGATATGACTTCCTCACAACCAAAAACCTCACTTTTCTTCCTTTAGAAAATTAATGGCTATAAAAATATTATCAGGGGTGCCTGGGTGGCTCAGTTAGCTGGGCGTCTGACTTCAGCTCAGGTCATGATTTCATGGTTTGTGAGTTTGAGCCCCACATGGGGCTCTGTACTGACAGCTCAGAGCCTGGAGCCTGCTTCCGATTCTGTGACTCCCTCTCTCTCTGTCCCTCCCCTGCTTGTGTGCTCTCTCTCTCTCTAAAGAATGGACAAACAATAAAAAAAAAAAAATGAAAAAGTTTCAATGAGAAAGAATATAAGCTCACATAAACCACTGTAGTTCAGTCTCCTATTCAGATGCCTTACTTCCCAGCTGTGAAGGAGAGAGAACTATGAGAAAACCATGCATGTCATTCCTAAGCAGAAAGAGGAGTGAGGAGACATAAATACAAGAACCCTTAAGTAGCTGGTCCATTGGCAAGGGTAACTGAATCCACAGATAATTTCAAATTCTCATTTTGAAAAAATTCTCTTCTTAATTTTAAGAGATAAAAAACAAAGAGTAGGGGGAACCTGGATGCCTCAGTCGGTTGAGCATCTGACTTAGGCTCAGGTCATGATCTCACCGTTCATGGTTTCGAGTCCCCATTGGGCTCTCCGCTGTCAGCGCAGAGCCCACTTCAAATCCTTTGTCTCCCTCTTTCTGACCCTCCCCAGCTTGTGCTCTCTCTCTCTCTCTCTCGCTAAGAGAAAATAAACATTAAAAAATAAAAAGTATACCTGACATGAATTTCAAATACTTGCTCTTTGCCAATGAGCAGACTCATTAGAGAAGAAACAAAAACAAAATCTTAGATAATTAATAGACTGGATAGCCAGGTTTAAAATCACCAGGGGTTGACTGGTAGTATACTTTGTTACTAGGAAGCACTCATAAGGGTTTCCTGGAAAAGAAATTAAACAGCCACGGAAATAGTACTTTGAAAGGAAAGAGTAAATAAGGTGTGTAGGGAAAGCTAGACTGAAATCAAATCTCTGGGTCCTCCTCAAATCTTCCTTCACTGAAGAAATGTGCTTGAAGGTGTGACCGGGAAATAACAGTGGCCCCTGGGCTCAGTGTAGAAGGGACATTGGCCTTCACTTCCAGCAATTCAGGGCACTGTCAGGGAGACATTTTCTTCTCAATGGGAAGTGTGAAGTGTGTGGTGTGCAGGGGAGGACCCTTTGGTTACTTGAGACTTTGAGCTTTGAGAAGTTCTCTGCATAGCAAGAAGTGGAGACCTGAGTTCATCTTTGGGGAGGGTCTTTTTCTGGTTCTGTGAAAAGCACTCTCATGGGCCCTTTAGTGGTCAAGCAAGTTTTCACCTAACTCAGTGTTTTAGGGGAAAACTGTGACATCACAGTTAATCTGAAAACAGATAGTCTAGAGTTAGACTAAGCAGCGAAGTGAGCTGGTGTGCTAATAGTTGTGTAGAGTTGAGTCATGTTGTAATTTGGTATTAAAGTAAGTGTACCTGCCTAAATGCAGTGGCTCAGAGCTGTCCTAGATTCCAAATGAATATTTATTAAAATGAAAGTACACTATAGTGGTTTAAAATTAGAAAAATTTTAAAATAGGATTAAGAACCAGAAATCAAGATAATGGGAGCTCCTAAAGGAATGAATCATTTATAATTTTCCTCTTGATTCCATTTCATCTATATAACCAGAAATTTCTTCACAAAAAATTTTTGTGAAATATTGAACGACTTAGGGTTCATGACTCCATTTAGGGTTTTTGCTCCTTCACAAAAATAAAACATTTTAGGATCATAGAATGTACTCAAATACTTGTTGATTGAGGTGAGATTTTTATTTGCTAGAAAAGTGTTTAGTTCAAGTTCATTTAAAAAGTCCTTGAGAAATGAATGCAGAGTTCAAGGTACATATTCTGATTTGATAGAAAGGCACTAGATACAGGATTCCAGGTTTCCATCCTTTAAATCCGGGGAAGAAAGGAAATCCAGGCTCTCCAGCCTAGCTTTGGCTTCATTGATAAACGCCCTGGAAGCTCTCTGCAGGGGAGGCCGGGGTGGGCCCATTGGAATCCCAGAGACCAGAGTCATGATGGCTTTTGTCTGTGACACTCCGAAACCTAGATGGGAAAAACAAATGAGGAAATGTGACTGGAACTGTCCACTTTGCCATAAACATCTCAAAGCAGAGGTCATATTCTTACAGTGACTTCTACAACAGGATAAGGTGGAAATAGAAGAGGGGAACTTTTCTGGTCACTATGACAGACTGAGCAGACACAGGAAATCCCTCTTCCTGTCTCAAACATATAGAAAAGATGGACCGTTTGAAACAAATTGACAAACAGTGAAACAAAACAAAGGAAGACTCAACATCAACTTCAGAAGCAAGAAGGAGGGACCAAAGGCATCAGGAAGAAAGAAGTCAGTGTGGTGAAGAGTTGCTGAAGCCAACTGGTCCAGGAGGGTAATCTGACTCAGGGATACGCCGCCATGGACTGAATGATACAGGACTTAATCGCTAAGACAGAATTTAGTTCAAGTACATCTAAAAAGTCCCAGAGAAATGCACTATTTAAGAGGTTACTGGGCCGCCTGGGTGGCTCAGTTGGTTAAGCGTCTGACTTCAGCTCAGGTCATGATCTCATGGTTCGTGGGTTCAAGCCCTGCATCGGGCTCTGTGCTGACAGCTAGCTCAGAGCCTGGAGCCTGCTTTGGATTCTGTGTCTCCCTCTCTCTCTGACCCTCCCTGCTTACACCGTCTCTCTCTTAGAAATAAATAAGACATTTAAAAAAATAAAAAGAAAATAAAATAAAATTACTTCAAAGAGAAAAAAAAAATAAATAAATAATTAAAGTTAAAAAAAAAAATAAAAAGAGAGGCTACTGTTTTAGAGTTGGTGTTATAAAGCTGGTCAAGAATGCAAGATGAAGCCTTGGGTCTGTGCATGGTGGTGGTGGTGGTGGTGGGGGGGAGTTGCTGAATTAAACTCCCTGTGTGAAACTGGTAGCCAGCCTGCTGGTCTGGGGAGAGAGAGGCAAGGAAGCTTGGTTTCTACCAGGGCTGTGGATGGAAGAAGATAATATGAAAGAAACTGCAAGTTTCTGCCATTTATGAACACTGGGTCCATATTTGCATTAGGTACTTGGTAGAAGAACAAGATTAAGATAGTAACCTAAAACCTGGTTAGAATTGGTGAAACTCCAACAGAGGCAAATGTAGAACCACTTGTTAGGACACCTTATAAACTAGAGCACAAAAAATTCTCCAGGAAACAACAGTCTCTGTTTTAAAATTTACAAAACACATGAGAAAAAGAAGCCACACAAGAGCTAGCAAATGCATAACTGACAAATCTCACATCCTGAGAAAGGATGATACACAATTCTGAAGCAGATCTCATAGAGATAAAAGAAGCAATAGAAACCCTAGGCTAAGATAAGGGCATATATAGATAAATTACAGAAAGATCTGGGGAAAAAAACAAAAAGAAATACTAGAAATGAAAAGTTTATATCCAATGAAATGAAATAGTAGAAAACAGAGCTAAAGGCAGAATTAGGGATTCTGAAGATGGATCTAAGGAAACAATACAGCACAAACAGATACTTGTTTTAACTGGCTATCACTTTTGTATCCAAGGTATGAAAAGTACTGTCTTTTGCTAAGTTAACCAATAGTAACAATTGAACATCTAGAAGGAATATACTAACATGACCAAAGATATAGTTTGATGAATGCAAAATGGCCCTCCCAGGCCTATTACAAATAGTGGAATAGGGAGCTACCCTCAGAGTAAGATTTATTTATTTACTTATTTTAAACATACACATTTATTTATTTATTTTAAATGTTTATTTTTTGAGAGTAGAAGTGGGGGAGGGGCAGAGAGAGGGGGACAGAATCCAGAGCAGGCTCTTCATGTACAGCAGCAAGCCTGATATGGGGCTTGAACTCACAAACCATGAGATCATGACCTGAGCTGAAGCCGGATGCTCAACCACTGAGTCACCCAGGTGCCCTGTAGACTACAAGTTTATTAAAATAAGTAACTCCTTGACTAACTCCTTGACTACACCATGAAAGCTCCAACCTGAGGAAGTCTGAAACGATTTCTTTTTTTTTTTTTTTTTTTTTTTTTTTAAATTTTTTTTTTAATGTTTTATTTATTTCTAGGAGAGAGAGAGAGAGACAGCGTGAGCAGGGGAGGGTCAGAGAGAGAGGGAGTCACAGACTGAAACAGGCTCCAGGCTCTGAGCTGGCAGTCAGCACAGAGCCCGATGCGGGGCTCGAACCCACAAACCGCGAGATCATGACCCAAGCGAAAGTCGGACGCTTAACCGACTAAGCCACCCTGGCGCCCCTGAAACGATTTCTTTAAAGATATGTTCTTTTAAATCATAGAAATTATCCTCAAGAGTCCACATTCAAAATACAAATATTCTGGGGGTGCCTGGGTGGCTCAGTCCATCAAGTGTCTGACTCTTGATTTCAGCTCAGGTTATAATCTCACGGTTTGTGTTTCAAGTCCCACATCGGGCTCTGTTGCTGACAGCATGGAACCTGCCTGGGATTCTCTCTCTCCCTTTCTCTCTCTCTTATGAAATAAACTTAAAAAACAAATAAGTAAAATGCAAATATTCTGGCGAAAGAGTATCAGCTAATATCTTAGGGCTCTGTGTGACAGAAATGTTGCAGTATCACTGCTGGATGACCTTATATGTACACAAGTATACTTTTTGCTCTAATGTTAACAGTTTAATATTTATTTGAATGTACTTTAGGAACATACACAACTACCAAACCAAACCCACAATTCTGTGAAGTATGGCTTAGGTAGAACGAGGGAATAATAATAGGTGATTAATAGTACTTGTGGCACATAAATAGGACAAAAATCATGGAAGTGGAAGAGCGAATGGGAAACAGCACCTTTGAGGGATTAAGAGAGCTAGTGGAGGATCCTGAGAGAACGAGGGGCTCTGCATGGCTGGTGCTTGGAGCTGGGGGGTGGGAGGGAGTTGCCAGGAAAAGACAAAAGGCTCTGAAAGGGAGGTGGGAGGTCTGCCAAGAATAAACCTAAACCTTTTCCTGGACTTGACCCAAGTTCTCAGAAAGGGCCAACCTCCTCCGAAGTGGAGTGACATTTGTCATTTGTTATGGGATAAGATTTAGGAGACTGTGAGGAGGTTTCTCTATGCAAATTCACTGTATTTTCCTCAAGTTCTACTTTGTCCTATTATCCAAACCTCCATCCGGCTGAGCTTACTTATGTTAATAAACTCTTTTTTACATTGCAAATACTCTTAGGAGAGCTGTCAGTCATTCACAATTTAGTAAGATCTGTATTCAGACTGCCTTCCTCCAAGCACTTGGGCTGTAATCAGCCACTGTGTGGTAGAATTTTAATGAGCAGGGGCAGGATGGTAGGAAAAAAGAATAAAATAATGGTGTGCAGGGTAGGGAGGCAAACAAAGTGGTAAAATGGAGGAATAGGATTTGTAGAAGGTGCCAAAGACCCTCCAACTAGGTTTACTTCACCATTTTATAGGGTTGGCCCTGAAGCTAGTATTGGAAATAAAACTCTGCCTGCAACAGAACATGAAAAGGTGTACTTGTTGGGGGCACCTGAGTGGCTCAGTTGATTGAATGTCCAACTTCAGCATAGGTCATGATCCAACATTTGCTGGGTTTGAGACTCATTATCAGGCTTTGCATCGACAGCATGGAGCTTGCATTGGATTCTCTGTCTCCCTCTCTCTCTCTGCCCCTCTCCTGCTCTCTCTCTTTCTCTCTCTCTCTCACTCTCAAAAATAAACATTAAACAATTTTTTTACAGGTGTCCTTGTTGAACCCTCACAGTGATGGTGTTCCATTTCCTTTACACTCATAACAGGCAAAGCAGAAACTTACCAAGTTTGAGCACAAAGTTGATAAATCTCTGAATACAAAACTGGAAAGGAAAAAAAAACACACACAAATTACAGTCAGTATTACTAAGCTGTGATAACAATTTAGAAATTTTCGAGGGCAAAGGACAGTAACCCCAAACTAAAAAGCCCACACACCCTGGTTGGCTGAAGGCCTGTCAGAGTGGAAAAGAACAGCCAAGTGAGGATGGGGTTGAGCTCCACCCAGGAGAAGGCAGGATCTTTTCATATATGTAAACTTTATAAAAAGGGCTCTTGCAGAAAAGAAGCGCCAAAGATAGAATTGTAGGACAGAGTTAAGATGGAGGCAGGCACACTTTATCCATCTAGCTTGCGGAGCTAAACTATCAGCTAGTGTGGCTCTTTTCCAACTGGGGCACACCAATGTCTGGGGTACTTTCTGAGATCCCTAAGGGGCACTTAGTCAAGGCTGAGGTTTATGAGAATAAATAATTTCTAGATGCTCAACATCCATAAATGCTATTTTCTGAAGCTGATGAGATGAAGGATTCTCATGTGATAGAGGTACAGGTTGTCCATTTATATTTCCTTTTCATAGTCCTTTTTCTCCCACTTTTGAAAAAAATAAAGACGTACCTCCTACATCACTGCCTTGGGACACCTCTGGGAACCACATAAAGGAGCAGATCAAAATACTGGTATTGGCACTGACAAAGTGATGGAGCGACTCCTCTAATTAACGGGTAACAAGTCCTCTAAAAAACCATAGGGCTTTCTACTTTTTGCTTTCAACATTATTTTCAATGTTGCTACCCAAAAGTCACTAAAGCATTCTGTGATTTTTAACATGACTCAAAAACTGTTCAAAGGATTGAATGACATTGCTGCAACAAAATTTCTTCCATTCTTACAGGGTTTCACAGCACTCATTTCCCTAAAAACAAAAAACAGAAATAGTATCGATGCTGAAATTAAACTCATCCTGGCATTAAGTAATATTCATTCATGAATTTGTGAGCTAATTCATAAGAAAAAGACTCTATCCATCTCATTTCTTAATAAGATGCATTTTCAGTAACATTTTACTCTTACATTGTTTTCATCAGTCATATACAGTCCAGCAACAGAAAATCAGAAAATTCTGTGCAGAATCAAATGTTAACACCCAGAGCTTTATAAACACATATGTATTTATTTCTTTTCTCCTTCATGCACAAACTGTGGCATATCACATTCATGACTCTATACCCTGTTGCCTTTTTACACTTAATATATCATGGAATCTTTCCAGACCTGTACATAGAAAACTACCTCATCCTTTTAAGGGCTGCATAGAATTCTACTGCATAACTCAAACACAATGTACTTAACCATATCCTTACGGATGGATATTTGGGTTGTTTCCATCTTTTGGTATTATAAACAATGTTGTATGGAACATCTCCGTACATGTGTTATTTCACTTATGTAAATATAACAGATGGCATTTAAGTCCATTAGAATGAATAAAGTCTGCCCTAACTTTTTGCTGGTCTGCTTCCTCACTTGACTGTAAATTCCTTTAGAGCAGAGACAAGCATTAATGCAGTTATACACTTGTCCCAGTTCTTAGCTCCTTGGCCCAGTCCCTCGGACTATGAATGAGTAAATGAGACCCACTCACACTAGTCTTATATAAGGAAAAAAACCAGAGACTGTGGTAAACTGAGTTCCTTACCAATACCATTTTGAGTGGCACTAATGAGGGAAAAGAAAGAGATGGAAACTGGACCAGTCAATGAAAAGAAGCCACTAAATGGAATGACTCCTATCACAGCTGTTTTCACTGTCCACCTCATCCCATGGTTTCCCTGTCATGCAGCTTAGAACAGATTGAAATTTTCAGAAATAACTTTCTCTGGGAAACTAAGGAAAAAGAAAATAACCATCAGAGCAAAAAAAAAAAAAAAGGCAAAGTCTGCACAATTCAGACTTCCTATCTGAATTATTTAAACCAAAGTCTTGTCAATGTTTGGTTTAGTTGGCAAAGCTTCCTAAGCCCTTACCCTGTTCTTGCTCTCAGCTTCATATGATCTGGGGCTGAACAAAGGTGACTATTAAACCAGCTTATTTCAACTAGAAATAGGAAGTAGATTTAGGCTAGTTCAATGTTCAGGCCTAAAAAGTAGGGAACTAATTACTCCTGGCAACTGCTCCCTCATGTTCTTTCTGACTCGGAGATCAGGTCACTCCGTCTCCCTCCAACCTCCAGGATGCTCTGCACTTCTGCTCTGTAATATCTAATTGCCCCATAGGCAGCTTGTCCTGTTAAAAAAGATTCCTTATCTGAACCTTACTGGGATCCAGCACCTGCTCCGATCTTGCCTATTCCTTTAATTCCTGCTTGTTTTCTTGGGATGCTCTACTCTGTCACTTTGATTATTCTTATACTCCACTCAGTCACCTTTATTATTTACTATTTTGGAGGCCAAGTCCTTCTCTTGTGCCCACCCTATTTCTTTCCAGCTCATTCCGCTTACGTCAAGTACACATATTACTGAGCTGCGAGATTGGTTCTGCCCTTCGTGAGGCTCTTCATTTTCTAGACAGCTAGCCTGTCCTCCACGTAGTATTAACAGCGGTCACCATTTCCCCTGGGGTCTTCCCTGTAAAGCATCAGCTCCTGCTCTTTTTCTCTTCCTAGTTCAAAGCCAGTGTCTCCTTTTAGATCACTCACTAGGCTCTTGTTTCTGCCTGGTGGATGCTTCCAGTTCTCAGCACATTGCAGGTGAAGATGACTGAGCAGCTCTGACTCTGGCTTAAGTTTCCCCATTGTGAGTTATCTGCTCACAGCTTCTTCATAAACTCTGGAGACTTGGGTGTCAGGCCCTCAAGGGGATGGCATGTGTTCACTTTCCCAGAAATCTATCGCTGTTCTTTCATACTCACAAAAATACTTTGAACATAGAGTAAAAGATCATTTGTAGGAGGAACAGAGAGAGGTCATCCCCGCATGGAGCCTGTCCTGATTAGACTTGTAGGAAACACAGACAATGGGGACAAGTTTGGTTTTAAACAAGAACAGGTCAGAAGCAGAAGGAAAATGAAGAGAGAGGCAGCTAGGCAATTTTAACAAGGGCAGGTAAGGCAGGAGTGTTGATGAGAAAGAATAAGCATTATCCAGGGGGAAAGAAAAGTGGCTGTGACTTATGTGAAGAGAAAAACAAGTTAACCTGATGGTTCAGGGCTGAAGAGAAGTCCTTTTGTTCAAAAGCCTCCAACATCTGGTTTGTCTTTTTTCCCAGGTAGTTATAGGTACTGGAAAGAAAACAGTATAACTGAAAGATCAGTAACTCAGCGGGAGAAGTCCAGGATCTTCAAATCCTTTTGATGCTTAAAAGGGAAAAATATACCAGGCCTTCTAGAAGTCTATTTTTTGGCCCTAATCTATTAGAGATCAGATGTCTTCAGTTCTGAGTTTTCCACCAACAGTAAGCAGCGCTAAGAGGAGGCAGAGAACACCAAAGGGGATAAAGAAAAGGAAGAAAAATAGGAAAAGGATAAAGTTAGAAAAAAAGGGAAAATCGAGAGAGATGGAGTAGTGTATTTGGTAGGGAGTAACCGAGGCCAGCGTCTGCCTCAGGGCACACGCACAGATGCAATGCTAGACAGGAGCTGTGGATAAAATACAGCATCGGAGCTGAGGCCCAAGTCTTATGCTGAGGAACTGAGTGAATGGGGCAAATTCCAGCAGATTGTCTTAAATTCTCTGCCCACTTTATACATTACCTGTAATATAGATGCTTAAACAATTCATATATTACCTAGAGATTAGTTCCTAATAATAATATTAATAAAGATAATAATGAAACAGGAGATCATTTACTGTCTGTTGTGTTCCAGGTGCTTGACATAAATCATGTCTAATCCTCTCAAAGCCTTGCAGGGTACTCCTGGCTTCTATTTCACTGTGAAGAAACTCCAGCTTAAAGAAGGCTCCAGAGTTGTGGCAACGGCTTCACCACCTCATGCTGCCATCTATTACAATTCAGCAAACATAAAAGTGAGAATAAGTTATTTGATCTGATAAAGTGTAGACTGAAAAAAAAAAAAAGGTCTAACTCTACCAATAAAGACTAGGCTAATCACTGAATTCTCAGAGAAATCAGCAAGGTAGATGTTTACAGAAATTCTTAACAAAGATGCTTCCTCAGTGTCAAGCAACCTCTCATAGAGTTAAATCAGTATCAGAAAAATATATTTCTCCTGATGTACCAAGAACAGAATGTGGTTGGTACTTCGTATATATAGACCCTGGAGTGGGCAGCCAGGGATTCCAAGAACGTGAAGTTCCACATTATCTTCTGGTCATAAAGTAAGGAAAAAGAAAATACAATAGCTGAGGCAAGTCACTTATAGATGTGGAACACTCCCAGGTCACAATATGTACGTGAATGTTGGAGGAGTTTCAGAATACTAAAATTCAAATCCCAGGGGTCTTTGGCATATTTGCTTAGGGAGGAATGTGGATGTACTTTGCTTCCAGATTATGTTGAAAAGAATTAAAATGCCTAATGGGGGCCAAAATAGCAAAAGTCAAAAGGGTAAGTATTTCCAGGGGGAAAAATTAAGAATTTCAGAGCCAGGCATTCAGGTCTCCTCAGCAGAAATGCCCCTATAGTAACAATGGATACTGCAGGCCATTCTGGCTTGGTGATTAAGGCATGAAGATGATTCAACTTGATTATTCTTTTTTTTTAAATAAATGTTTAAGTTATTTATCTTGAGAGCGTGGCAGAGAGAGAGAAAGAGACAGTTTGAGTGAGGTAGGGGTAGAGAGAGAGGGAGACAGAGAATCCCAAGCACGCTTCCATGCTATCCGTGCAGAGCCTGAGATAGGGCTTGAACCCATGAAACTGTGAGATCATGACCTGAGCTGAAACCAAGAGTTGGACGCTTAATCAACTGAGCTACCCAGGCGCTCCCAACTTAATTATTCTTCATCAAAGCCATGCTCACCAACACATGTTATCAATATTACTTTGCTTCTTCCTATACTTTTCCTATAGGGAGGAAATGTACTTTCAGTGAATACAAATATTTCAGTCAATCCCTTGCAGGCACTTTTCTAATAAATTAGGTTAACATGTGCAGTGGACATGCTAATCGAATTTCCTGCCTTCCCTAGCCTCTGCTAAGTAGGCATCAGGCCACATGATTCTACTTTCTTGGCTGCAGGTGGCTGGGCCTTAGGCGAGCTGAGGGCGGTGCTATCTAGGGGTACCTGGAGGTGCCATGCTTGAGCAGCCATGACAGGTCGTGTGCACTGAAGCACAGTAAGCCCACCCGGAGAGCCAGAGAGGGAAATAAAGGGGTGCGCAGAGAGACACGGGGATGAGAGTCTCCAGGGGACCACAGACGGGAGAACGCTCTGCTGCGGCGGCTGAGAGATTTGCAGTCCTGGGTTCTCATCTTCTCTGAGGCCTGACTGCACCTCCTCCTCTTCAGTTTTATGTAATTTTCCAGTAGTTTATACCTTATCTTCCTCTACATTAGCTCCTTTGAATGGGTTTCTGTTATTAGTAACTGAATACTTTCTGACAGGTTGTGTGCATGCTCTCGGCTCACGTGCCTCAGCTCCAATTGCAGCCAATGCTTGCAAGGAGGATGGCTGAGTTAACAAACTGCTACGCCCTACATAACTCCTTTATATTGAAAGCCGGGGGAGGGGAGGGCGGGGAGAAAGGCAACTTTTATTTAAAAAGGTGTCCATGTAAGAAGTATAACCACTATGCAGTGACTACCTCTCGCCGGGGCACTCGACATTTATAACTGTTGGGAAAAACAGGTCAGGCTTACCTGCCCACCGCTCCAGTAGCTCCCATCACCAGGGCACTCAGTAGTTGCTAATCAAAAACAGACACAGAGCATTCGCTTTTGTGAACAAGAGAAAGAGAGAAGATGCTGCTCTATAAACAGCTTTATAAATTGTTCCAGAGGGCAACTAACGTGACAGGTGGCAACTTACCTCATCCACCCCAAAAAGGAAAGCAAACTGCTGCTCGCGATTCTGATCCACACACTGCCCGAAGTCTAAGAGATCTGTGTCACTGAACTTCAGCCCTTGGAAGGTGGGGATCTTCTCCTGAATCCCATCCAACAATTCCTCTGCACGAACTGCTCAAAACAGTCAATGCCTCACTAATCTGCACACCGCCAGGAAATGTCAGATGCGCCAGAGACTGCATCTTGTAGGTCCCCCTGCATCTGCGCAGAGCGCCAGAACCTGCTCTCGGCTGATCGTCATGCACCCTCACCTAGTGCTTCCTTCCTGTACACTTGGTCAAATCATAGCCCTAAGCCTTCTATTCCTTGAAGACAACACCTGAATGTTTCCAAAGCACAACTTCTGTTTTTTTCTTTTAAGGAAGTAGAAAGGAATGAAATGTAAAAAATAACCTAAGAAATTCCATCTAATTGTAACAATCTTTTTGCTGGAGAAGCATAGTAAGGATAAAAGGAAAGCTAGAAGAAAAGTGAGGAGGGCTCAGGGTACCTTCCTGTGTTTCAGGCACTGAGAATACAGTAGGGGACACAGTTGATACAGTCTTTCTCCTTGAGAAAGTCTTACTGGCTTGTGTCTTCTAAGAAGTGGGGGGGGTGTGATAGACACAACGTACCTGCTTGAAGTGCCTAGGGGTCAACCTGTCTTTCACATTTAAAAACTTTCATTATAAAGTAGTGTCAGTGATTGATAAGACTAACTTATTGTGGATCAATTGGAACCAGCTGGTCAACAATATTACGCTTTGATGACATGGGGTGAGTGGGATGGAATGGGAGTTTTCTTAGCAAAACAGGGTAAGATATGAGAGATGGAGGTACAGAAACATTGAAAGAAGCCGTACTTACTCTTCACCCCTGTCAAGGCGGGAATGTGATAGTAATAAAATGGCAATGCCGGGGCGGCAGCAGCCACCTCCTTTAGGAAATTAATCAAGACATCTGAAAGAAAAGCAGGAAAAGCCATGGTGTGAACAACATATCAAACACTGGCATTCCCTGGTGGGGGAAAAAAGTGAACCCATCTAAGGAAATGCAACCATCTCTCTCAGAAGCTGAAAAGTCTTGATCACTCTTGCAATCCCTGGGATTGCTATGGCAATGCCATTGCAACTCACTCCATTCAAAGTTTTACTTTCCTTTCTGCAGAAAGGCCAAAATAAGATGATCACTTTCAAACCATACTAAAATACTATTAAAAAACTGGTGCAAACCTTCCCACGTATTAAGAGAAGCTCATGAAATACTCTCATAAATGCCAGAAGCCCATCAGGAGGGCTCTTACCCCACAAGGGCTAAATGTGATCAGGCAACAACAAGGAATTCGCATTAGGATTAGAATCATCAAGTTTTGACTGAGAACATTTTACAACAAAAAGATAAATAACAGTTGCTCTAAGAGGGAAGTTCTATGAAGAGTGGCCTATCTCCCAATAATTCAGCCAGAGGCTGGTTCTTTCTCTGTCTGGGGAGAAATCCAGGTATGGTGAAAGAGAACTCACTCTACTTTACTGAGGGATTGCAATTTCCTACATCATCCACTGTGAACTTCAACTGCAACATTACTGCAGATGATAAATAAATCTAGCAGACGTGCTTACACCTTGGCTAGTGGAAGAGAGAATCTTTTTTTTTTTAAATTTTTTAACATTTATTTATTTTTCAGAGTCAGAGAGACAGCACAAGAATCCGAAGCAGCCTCCCAGGCTCTGAGCTGTTAGCACAAAGCCAGAGGCAGGGCTGCAACTCACCAACTATGAGATCATGACCTGAGCCAAAGTCAGATGCTTAATCGACTGAGCCACCCAGACATCTCTAACTATGTATTTATGTAATCATGTGTGCAATTATGGATTGTCTGTTTTCAATCCTTTCAAAATTTGCATTTCTTTGTTTCTAATCAGGAGGATTAAAAAGACTCAGTAGTCTTGTGTAGTAGTAACTATAAAAGTAGTTTCCATAGAGAAAGCAGAGGAGAAAGCAATTAACTTGTTATTTTGGGAGACAATGGATGTTTCTGTGAAATCTCCCTCAAATTCATTACTCATTCAACCTTGAACAGAATGTGTATTCTCAAGATGCCCATCACTTAACATTCCTCTTTTTTGAGAAAACCGGTCCCATGCTTTGCCATGTTACCCTGACACTCTGCACAACCGACCAGACTAGGAGTGAACACCTGACTCAAACAGGCACCTATAGGCTGATCTCGGGCTTGGTGGGTGACCCAATCAGGTTGCTTGGCAAAGTCCTTCTTAAAGGAGTCTTTTCTTACATGGACCCAGGGAGGCCAAACATTCTGGACCACTGCTATATACCACCACAACTCCTCGCTGTCAGTCTATAAAGCTTTACCTTCGTGAGTTTCAGTATAACCATTCTGAATGAAGGCAAAAAGAAATGGCCCATGTGAGGCACTGTGTGGACTGTCTACTTACCTTTGTTCCATGGCTTGAGAAAGAAAGGTGCGATGACAGCGATGCCATCGGCTCCTATTTCTGCTGCATGGCGGGCCTTTAAAAGAAGAAAGAAGGCCATTGTGGGTCTAGTCGTAATTCCGCTGTGTGCATGCAGGGGTTTCTCCACATCTGCAAGCAATTCTCTAATCCCAGGTGTGTGTCCTACATTTCTACTCAACTCTGATCCTATCTACCTGGAGACAGAATCAGATTCCATAGGTTAAGGACTCAGTCCTACAACACTACTCCACCTCCCCCAACTTTAGATGCCCACCAGAAACTCAGGTTATCACCTGTGCTTCTGGCCCACTGGATACAGACTGGGGATTCCAATGATTCCCCACTTGGGTTGATTAATTTGCTAGAGCAGCTCACAGAACTCAGAGAAACAGTTTACTTACTAGATCACCAGTTTCTTGTTAAAAGGATATTACTCAGGAACAGCTAGGTGGTAGAGATGCATAGGGCAAGGGACAGAGAGACGGCTTGTAGGTTCCACATCTTCTCCAAGTGCTAGTGTGCCACTCTCCCCAAATCGCCACATGTTTACCAACCTGGAAGCTCTCTGAAACTTGCCCTTTTGGGTTTTAATAGAGGCTTCCCTGCAGAGCTACTATTAATTAAATCACTGGCTTCTGGTGACTGATTCAAGCTCCAGTCCATCCTCCCTCCCAGAGGTAGAGGTCAAGTAGGACTGAAAGTTCCAACCCTCCAATCACATGGTTGGTTCTCCTAGCAACCAGCCTCCATCATTAGTTGAACTCTTTTTTAATTTTTTAAATGTTTATTTTATTTTGAGAGAGAGAAAGAGACACACAGTGTGTAGGGGAAGGGCAGAGAGAGAGGGAGACACAGAATCTGAAGCAAGCTCCAGGCTCTGAGCTGTCAGCACAGAGGCCAATGGGGGGCTTAAATTCACAGAGCACAAGATCATGACCTGAGCCAAAGTTGGACGCTTAATGCACTGAGTCACCAGGTGCCCCTCTTAGTTGCATTACAAAAGTCACCTCATTCACATAACCAGAGACACCTTTATTGCTCTCATCATAGAAAATTCCAAGAGTGTGAAGAACTCTGTGCCAGAAGCTGGACAAAGACCAAATATATATTTATTATAAATTACAATATCACTTGGAATAAATGACTTATTATATTCACCTATAGTTTAGATACTGAGAGTAGCAACAAACTTCAAGTTTGCCAACTGATGCACAACTATAGAAAATAAGCCAAATTTAATGATAAATGTCATTACCAGGAAAATCCCAAATTGCAAAGCAGACACGCCTAGAGGTGACTTGTGCATTTAATCTTATTTTTCTTCAGTCTCCATCCGTACAAAAAAACCTTGCTAAAGGAGACACGAGTGGTTCGTTAATAGAGAAACTTGCAGGTGTAATTTCTCTTCTAGTGTTCAGCCCATTGGATGATGTGGTCTTGCCTGTCCAGTGATTTGTCATATTTTAAAATTTATTCTAAATTTATTTAAAAAATTTTAATTTATGGAGCGGGAATGCAGTTGAGGATGGGTGAGAAGAAAAAGATTATGCACATAAAGGAAGACACACTGTACCACTATTCTGAGGTTTTCTCAGATTTCCCCAGAAAAAGGAAAAGACCATTTCCTTCTGCTGGGCCCTCAAACATTCTTATCTATTTCAAGTAGAGCACCTAAACTCTACTACATGGCAAGACAGTGTGTACAGTGACTGTCCTCAAAAAGAATGAGTTCCCTGAGGGCAGGGGTCAGATTTTACTCACTCTTATGTTTAGTTAGTTAATCATGGTGCTGAGCACATAGCAGGGACTTGCAGATTCCTTTAGAACATGTCCCACTACCTAAAAGGGAAACAAGCTTCCCTTTCAGACTTTAATATCTATACTTCATAGATGTGATTAGCTTTCTGCAGAAGTAGGAGAACCAAAGAGAAGACTGGGATATAGTTCAAAGACCAATTGTGACATTGGGTGTAATTTCATTAACATGGGGTTAGAATGTAATATATTTGAATCATTTGTTTTAGCACTTGGTTTAGGGCAAGAGTAGAAGGGTAACCTTAGATGGAAATAAGGAAAATGGAAACAGCTGAAAGACAGTTGATGGCAGTGCCCATTCAAACCCCATCCAGTGGAGTTATAATTAAGCATATACCAAATTATTGTCTCATTGGTAAGATTATCCCCATAGTAGGAGATTATCCCTATAGCAAGGGATTATCCCTACCTATAGCAGGGGATTATCTCTATACTCTTCTAGTGGTTAGCCCAAGAGGATAGTCTTTCATGTCATGACATGACAATATTTTAAAATTTATATCACACATAGGAAAGGAAAGCAAAAAGAGATGGGAAAAAAAAAAAAAAAAGGTTTCCTACATTACACTACCTAAATTGAAAGGCCTATCAAGCATAAGAAGGATAAATCAAGTCTCCAAGTTCCAATTTTAAGCTTGTTAAGCAACTATCTAGCAATGTCCTCCTGTGTGGCTTGCCTAAGAGTGCTGAATTGCAATTTTGCAAATATATATTACGCATCCATTTCTAAATTCAGCAATAGGAAAAATAAAACCCATCAAGAAGATGTTGAGACCCGATCAAGTCATGGTAATCTTTGGAATTAGAATATATAAATTTGAAAACATGGTTAATTTAGCAGTGATCCATGTACTGGGCCTTCTGGTAAACACTGCAACATTGTTGAGCTTTCTTTTGTTACCCAATTCACAAAGTCCTTGAAACCATGTACTTTTCTGCCAGCAACTTTGACTCCTATCTCTACCCTTTGCTCCATCTAATCTGCTAATCTTCAAACCTAGAGCAATCCAATTGTTTGTGTTCTTGAACCTGTGTTCTGGTTGAAGACTATACCTAGAAAGAAATTTCCATAACCTAGTTGAATGCTGATATGACAAATTTATGACTTACAGCTTCAGTTGGCTTTCAGCACCACTGGGCAATCCTTTTTAAAAATTTAACTAATTAGGGCTGCCTGTCTGGCTCAGTAGGAAGAGCATGTGACCGACTCCTGATTTCAGGGTTGTGAGTTCAAGTCTGCCAAATGTGTAATGTATAACTTACTTAAAAAATATTTTTTTTGGTGACAAAACCACAAAAAATTGACCACTTTAATCATTTTTATGTGTACAGTTCAGCAGTTATAAAACATATCTCTACAACTTTTCTTTCTTTTTTCAATTTTAATTTAAATTTTTTATTTTATTTATCTTTTAATATAATTTATTGTCAAATTGATTTCCATACAACACCCAGTGCTCATCCCAACAAGTGCCCTCCTCAATGCCCATCACCATTTAAATTTTTTAATTTTGAGAGAGAAAGACAGAATGTGAGCGGGGGAGGGGCAGGGGAAGAGAGGGACACACACAGAATCCGAAGTAGGCTCCAGGCTCCAAGCTGCCAGTACAAAGCCTGATGTGGGGCTTTAACCCACGAATCTCAAGATCATGTTCTGAGCTGAAGTCTGACACTAAATGAACTGATGAACTAAATGAACCTGTCACCCGGGCACCCCTCTATAACTTTTCATCTTACAAATCTGAAGCTCTACACTCATTAAACAATTCTTCTTTCTCTCTCCCTCTAGCCCCTGGTAACCACCATTTTACTTTATGTTTTTATGAATTTGATTACTTTAGATACCTCATTTAAGAAGAATCATATCGTATTTGTCTTTTAGTGACTGGCTTATTTTATTTAACATAATGTCCTCAAGGAGGCTCACCTACATTATAGCATGTGACAGGACAGATTTCCTTCCTTTTTAAGGCTGAATAATATTCCACTGTATTGTTAAAAAGAAAATCACAGGACCCAAATGGAGTCACTTATGTTAAGGCCCCACATCAGCAAACCAAGACTTAATACATAACCTGACTGCAGTTTCAATCCTCCAAGGAATGTAACCTTTAAACTGTCAACATGGAACTTCCTGGTCAGCACTAGGAAATCTACCGCCAGACCCGACCCCTTTCATTCCCCTTAGGAAGATGGCCTTGCTTAAAATAATGTGTTCTTTGCTAATAATTTCCTTTTGTTCACTCCCTCTCCATCTTTAAAAACTTTTCTTTTTCCAGAGCTCGACAGAACTCTTTCTCTTTTTTTAAACTTTATTTATTTTAAGAGACAGCGAGAGCACGAGCAAGCAGGGGAGGGGCAGAGAGAGAGAGAGAGAGAAAGCCAAACAGAGTCCATGATGTCAGCACATAGCCTGACATGGGGCTCCATCTTATGAACCATGAGGTTATGACCTGAGCCAAAAATCAAGAGTCAGATGCTTAACAAACTGAGCCACCAAGGGGCCCCAGAGCTCCCTTCTATTTGCTAGACTGGATGCTGCTGGATTCATGAATCCCTCAATAAAGCCAATTGGATCTTTTAAATTACTCAGCTGCCTTTTTGTCCTTTAATAGTATGTCTACACCACATTTTATCTATTTATCCACTGATGGGCATTTGGGTTGTGTCCGCCTCTTTACATTGTAAAAAATGCTGATTCGAACATGGGTGGGACAGTCTTCCTGTGTCTCAGCTCTCCCTTCCATTCTCTCAGGCAGTGACCGCTCTTCATGCGTGAACCCCATCTACAATCTCCTTCATGCCCAGCAGGTGGCTTTGCTCAGAAAAAACTGAGGATTGCCCAAGTTCTTCTCCTGACTTGCAAACTGAGCTCCATCTATACCCACTCTTATTTCTGCCACGGGAGTTATCACCTTGGGCTACTCTCATCATGGCTCTGTGCCTGCTTCTGCATGGTGACCTCCCAGAGGTGCCTCATCTCCTATTTCCCATGACAGCGTCCAATATATAGTAAAAATGGTATGGACTTTAACTTCAGCTTAAAAAAAGAGCCCCTTCCCTTATGTGGAATCTAAAAACTAAAAGAAATGAACAAATAAAAAAATAGAAACAGAGATATATAATACAAACATAAATGCAGAGAACAAACTGGTAGTTGCCAGAGGAGAGGGTAGTGGGGGGATGGGCAAAATAGGTAAAGAGGATTGAGAGGTATAAACTTGCAATTATAAGGCAAACAAGTCACAGAGATGGAAAGTACAGCATAGGGAATGTAGTCAGTAATATTGTAATAACCATGTATGATGACAGCTGGTGACCACACTTATCCTGGTGAATAGGGAGTAATGCATAGAATTATCAATTCACTGTATGAATTTCACTGAAATCAATATAACATTGTACATGTCAACTGTGCCCCAGTAATAAAAGAAAAAGGAGGACCCTACAATGGTCTCGCCCAGATGGACCTACATACATACCAGTTCTTGTGACTCCTTCAAGCTCAATGCTCCTACGTGAATTACTACCTGATCCAATCTGCAAAAGAGAAAACACTGCTGCATCGCTCGGAAGTTTAGAGTAACACAGAAGGGCTGCACTATCCTGGTTTGTGCTGGGTTTGGCAGTCAGCTAATGTCTCACTAATCTCAATCTCAAAACCATTAAATTCTATAGTGGTCTCTTTAAAACTAATCTAGTGAAGAATTAAAAAAAAAAAAAAAAAAAAAAAAGAATGTCCAGGTAATAAAATTTAAGGCCCAACCAAGCAGAATTCTGAAATCCATAACTGATTAATTGATATCTGAATACTGCCTTTGATGAAGTGCTGTTTTAGATGGTGTATTTGGTGGTGATAGGTGCCTGGAGGTAGGTGTCAAACAGACATCTTTTGATTGGAGATAAAAATTAAGAGGTTCTTCAAAGAGTGCATCCAAGAACTACATGAGAATTGAAAGCTTTCCCCTATCTTGTAAGTCCTCAGAATCTGGCCTTTTGTAAGAGGTTTCCTCTGAGACCCCAATATTCATCTTCAGAGGTGCTCTGTGTGACCCCATGGGTGGAGGCCATGGTGAGACAGGTGTGCTCAGGGAGGATTAGTAAAACTCCGCTGTGAGTCCAGTCATCCCAGCGACTCCCTGAATGACTCACATGCCATCCTCAAGGGATGGAGACACCACATTCTTGTTTAGGGCCGATCAGGGAGTCCTCAGTGATTCTTTTTTTTTCTCAGTGATTCTTGATTGGTTAAATCTCAGGTGAAATGGCGCCTCACTAAGGAGGCTGATGTGATCAGATTTGCGTTTTTAAAGGAAAAGCCTTCAGAAGGGAGAAGGGAAGGCTGACTGATGTGCGCTACTCTTACCAGCAGCTTGTTGGCGGGACCTCCTCAAACCATTCATGCCCCTTCTCCTGGCTTAGGTTAGAACAAGTCATCTATTCCTTACCCCATCCGCCCTGCTGCTAGGGGCTGCTAGAAAAAAACCAGCCTACAGCTTTGATACCAACTCGTAATTTCCCAATTCAGGACAATGAGGCTCCAAAAAGCCTTCTGGTCATCAGGACTGACTTCCCTTCCAATTCCCTGCAGAGGCTACTTCAAATCTGAACTACTCTCAAGCTCTAAATTCCAGCCCAAAGTCTTGTTCCTGGCAGACGTTCTCACTTCAACATATCAGAAATACAGATGTTTCGTACACAGGCTGCCCCCCTTTTCCTCCTCTGAGCCTCTACACTTAGTTACCTCCCCAACTATGCTTTCCTCCCAGCTTCTTGGCTCTCATCCAATGTTACTCTATCTACTTTTGGTTTCATTTCAAGTCCCCCATCCCCCCAGAACTTCCCACCAAAGGGAGCACTGTCTCCTGTTAATCTTTTCTCCCATAACAGTGTCTTCTCAGCAGAGAAACATGCTCAGAACTACCCTGCTTTACACCTAATTACCCTTCTTTTAATCTTGTTTCTTCCTCCCTAATCTACTACTCCATCCCTCTTTCCCTTCACCAGAAAACGTTCTGAGAATGGGCTGCACTCACGGCCCCTGCCTCTGCACGCCTGCTGCCTTCTACGGCTCACTGCAGTCTGCTTCTGTGTCAACAACCCACTGGCTCCGCTCTCTCTGAGGTCATCGGTCACTGTCACTGCAAACCAAGCGGTCTTCTCAGCCCTCCACCTACTAACTTTCACAACATCCAATATTTATAACAAATGTGATAACAAACAGCATCTACTGCCAAGAATTACAATGAATTCCTATGTAATACTTGGTACTGTGTGCCGGCCACCATGTGAATCATCACCACCACCTTATAAGATACGTATTTTTATTCCTATTTTATAGGTGAAGCACAGGGCGGTTAAAGGACTTGTCTGAGTTCAGAAAGCTAGTAAGAGACAGGGCCAAGACCCAAACTCAGGCAGTCTGGCTGTACAGTCCCTGCTCCTAATTACCGTGCTACATTGGCATGCTCTGAAACCATTCTTCCTTTTTTTTCCTTTTTCCCTTCTTGTGACTGAAACCATTTCCTTAAGTGGTGGGATTCACCCCTGACCTCTCTCCTGTCCTTCTGAGGGCTTTCTGTCTTTGCTCCCTTCACTTTCTCCCCATTTCTGGTGCTTTTCTTAATGTTGCTCTTTAAACTTTCCTCTTTTCTCTGTCCATGGTCTTTAATTTTCTTGGGCCCACTGGAATTTGGGCCCAAATCTAACTGGAAATGAACTGAAAGCTGATGGAACATCAGGAAATGTGTACGGGGACATGCATTCAGACTTGGCATATAGTGTCAGAGTACTCAAGGTGTTTTGAAGCCACTTAAGGATCTCCAAGGAGGTCATGGGCTTCACACTGACAACCTCTGCTCCAGTCTCACTTGGGACTTACCTCCAATCTTTGCCTCCACCTAAGGCAACTCACTGCCTTCTCTGATCCCTGCTTATGCTAGTTATAACAAGAATCAGTGTTAAATTTTGTGATCGGACATCTCTATTGGATGGCAAGCAACCTGAAGGCAGGGACTCTGTTTCATCTCCCCAGTGCCGGCACAGTGCATCACACACGACAAATAAAGCTCGGTTAATCGAGTGTGCTTTTGAATGGATCCTGTCCTATCTGTTTACCATGGCATGAATGGAGCATTATAACAAAAATATATCATACACTGAGGTTTAGAAAATGCAGAAAGTTTCCTAAGACTACAAAAGGAAGGACCACAGAGAGCATGCTAAGTCATATGCACAGAGAAGACGCAGGGAAACCAGGGCTATATAAGCACCCACCTGAGAGGGGAAGAGGGGGTAGGAATTGTTCAGAAGAGCCAGGGGGCAGCAGAGTCTGTCACCAGCCCAACCTCCTCTTATCCCCCTCAGTCCAAGGACAGGTAACCCTTACAGACAGTTAAGAGGCAGCTTCCAGCTTCCAGATGAATCCTTTGGGAGCCAGGTGGGCCTCGCAGTCTGGCTGCTTCCACCCAGAAAGGAGGGGTGCTCCTCTGCCTCAGTGCCTCGCTGAGGTGCCAGGATTCCCATGCCTTGGGCCTGACCTCTGACCAGAAGGTGGGACGCTCGTCATCAGAAAAGGGCAGTACTCCACACAGCTGTCTGCAAGGGTCCCTTTATCCTGGTGACGCCACTCACTTGTTCCGCCCTTTCGTTATCCATTCCTCTGCGACCTGGCGTCGCTCTGAGACGCTCAGGGACAGGCCTTCTCCCGTTGTGCCATTCACTGTTCCAAACAGAGAGTCAGTCAGTGGGGCCAGCCAATTCCTTTTGCTCCTCCAGCAGCAACGCTGGAAATGCAGGGTCAGAACTGCCTGCTTACGAGGGAGGGACGTGGGGAAAGATCAGAGGGTGGAATCTGGGCAGGAGAATGCCATGTTTCCATTTTTATCTAAGACTCTGTCTTTTTTCTATCTTCACCTTGGCCAAAGCAGCAGGAAGGCTAATTTATGACTTATAATTACAAATCTGTCCTTGCTATCAGGAACAGATAGCAAGTATTTGATTGGAGACTGCTCTCATTTTAGGCAAATCTCCAAACACACCACCAGGTTCTATTATCTGGGCTTGAATGGCAGGAAAATCAACACCAACCAGAGCTAGGATGTCAAGGGGGTCATATGTGGGAGTTACTTATGAGGACAGCGGTGCATACTGCAGATCTAAGATGACCTCAGTCTACAGCTTAACATGATGGCAGCACTCCGGACAACTTTTAAATGGTAATTCATAATTAAACACCAAGGATATTAATATTTCTTGAATAAGCACTCTTACGTATTCACTTATTCTCACAGCAACCCTGCAAAGTACAAATGATTTTTCTCATTTACAGATGAAAATATGAGGCTCTGAATCACTAAATAATCTAAGTTTGAATCTGATCTGTGTGCTTCCAAAACTTTCCTTGCTAATACAATAATCTACGATACAGGGGCACCTAGGTGGTTCAGTCGGTTAAGTGTCTGACTTTGGCTCAGGTCATGATCTCCCAGTTCGTGGGTTTGAGCCCCGCGTCGGGCTCTGTGCTGACAGCTCAGAGCCTGGAGCCTGTTTCAGATTCTGTGTCTCCCTCTCTCTCTGCCCCTTCCCGACTCATGCTCTGTCTCTTTCTGTCTCAAAAAAAAAAAAATCTATGATACAATGGATCATAGGAAATATGCAACCAGCACTAGGATACATTACTGGGGCCTAAGGCATATGGTAGCACTTTAGATCACCAAATACTGAGCACTCAGTTGGGGAGAGAAGGGGAGGGGAGACCAGGAAAGAGTGTTTTTTATCATTCTTTTGCGGTCTTGAGAAATTTCAAATAGGCTCTACTAGTAGGAATCCTCCTACTTTTTTCTCTACACCCAGGGGAGACTGTGGGCTTTTGATGAGTAAGAATCTGTCCTCCTCACTATAACTTGGAGCTGTAGGGGGGGACACCAAGTGGTTCTGTAATCAGGTTGTGGTTTTAACATGTGGCCTGCACACCTTTCACAGAAGTTTTAACCTCCTTCAATTCTGACCTTGTGCTTCCAGTTTTTAAGGGGCCCCTCTTGGTAGAGCAGTAGCTGAGGAAAAAGATGTAGTGTCCAGTCTATGGGGTCCAGCATCCAGAACACAACACAAGGAGTAACTCAAACACCAGTAAGCATAGTTCTCAGACCTGAAATATTCAAGGTCTGATTAAAAAAAAATTTTTTTTAATGTTTTATTTATTTCTGAAAGAGAGAGAGAGACAGCATGAGCAGGGGACAGTAAGAGAGAGAGAGAGACACAGAATCTGAAACAGGCTCCAGGCTCTGAGCTGGCTGTCAGCACAGAGCCTGATGCGGGGCTTGAACCCACGAACCATGAGATCATGACCTAAGCTGAAGTTGAATGCTTAACCAACTGAGCCACCCAGGTGCCCCTACGGTCTGATTTTTTAATTTCCACCATCTATGAAATAAATGAGGGTACTGCTAGACCTGTGATTCCCTTGTGGGCTGCATGCAGTCTTTCTACATTTACCCAATGAAAGTCTGGTTGAAATCAGGATAAAGCCCATTCTTAAGACAGAGAAGTCTGGATTTTGCTGTTACTCTACCATTTCTTGGCTCAATGCCATTAAGCACCCTGAATAATGTATCTGGGTCACAGATTTTCCTCCTTAAGTGGGGACAAAAACAATACCTTACCTGTTTTGAAGGTATACCACCAAATTAGATACTCTCTTGAGGTGCCTTTCAGGTCTAAAACGGATGAGTCTATAAATTCACAAATTTTATGTAGCTTAACCAGTAACCTGTGACACAAGACACTGTGACCTCCTACTAGTAACCAGGTGAGAGCTACTCTCTAAGGAGTCAGCTAGAGATATGTAGGGAAATCTCTAAAGATGACTCACCAAAAATATTCTTCACTCCCTGTTCTTCCACAAGATAGTCCACATACCGACCAATGACTGAAAAGTTGATTTCTCTAAAGGATACAGGGGGAATAAAAGAAGAAATGCATATTCAGACTTTTTTAGAATATTATTCAACCAATCCTCAAATCTATAAACTGCTCCCCTTTGTTAATAGTCATTAAAAGTCCACCCAGCCGGTGTGTAAAATTCTTAATCTGCTCTAACTGATGCCTGAGATTTTCCCTTGTTTTTTGAGTCTGATGATTTCTCTATTTGTCCACATATACCTCATGTAATGAGCAATACATCATTATTTATCAGTAAAGGCTTTACATTTAAATATCCCCACAATCTTTAAAAAGCAATTACCTAGCAATCTTTTGCCCTTTTGGGGAAGAACAATGGTCGAGGCCATGGTGAAATAGGAATTTAACATTTTCCATTTGGTGAGAAGCAATCACCTTTTAGGCTTACAAGACAGGAAAATTTGATCTTAACAGTTTAAAAATTTTAGCACTTAGTACTTGAGACAGCAAATGAAAGCTTCGATTGTATTTGCCAGTTTTAAATCGAAAAGGCTTAACATTGGAGAGGAACTTGGCTGTCACTGCCTCTCAAAGCACAGTCTGTGGAAGAGCAGCACAGGCATCTGGGGTCTGTAAGAAATGCAGAGTCCCCGTCCTCACACAGTCGTCCCCAGTCAAAATCCCCATGGTAACAAGATTCCCTTGTAATCTGCATGCACTGGACAGTTTGAAGAGCAATGACCTTGTAAGGATCTGATGCTTAAGGCCATAAGGGCTCTTTTCCTTAAAATTATATTGACTTTAAAATCTAGAAACAGACTCACATACATCATCTAAAATGACCTGTTCTCAATCAAAATGCAGATGAGGATGATGGGGGTTAGAAAGTGAAAATCCAACGGAAAACCGTGCTATGGCTAGCAGGTGTTAAATGCCATAAAACCCATGGTTACACTGCCAAGAACAAAAAGTACTAGTTGGCTTCCATTTATATTGTTGTCGATCGGGGCCAGAAAATCTTAGTTTAATTTCAACCTTATGAATATCCTTTTCATCTTTGCTTACTGTATTCCTTAACACATGAAAACAAAAAAAAAATCTGATGCATAAAGAAAGCAAGGACATCAAAGGATATTTGTCATAGATAATAGAAACACTAGAGATAACAGCAAAGAATGCACAGGCAGACACTATCCACAACATGCAAATAACAGCTAATCAGAGCCAGTCAATTGGGAAAAGTGTGCTTTAGAGCAGTTATAAGGCCCCCAAGGGGAAACAGATTCCCTCTGTAACAGCTCACAGATAGCCTCAGAGCACTGCCCTCCGTGCCCCACTTGCTCAAATGCCAAATCCTGGCCTCTCAGTCTTGCTAAGCAGGGAGGCTCCCTCTCCAATTCAGGCCAAATTTAGGTTGTTCTCACCTAAGGGAGGATGGTCGAGTTATCTGCCTGGACAATCCATCTCAATGCCCTCACTTAGGTCAGCGTGACCTGTTCGACTTGGAATGTTGATGTTCTGACCATTTGGAACCCGCTCCTGTCCATCAGCTGTCCGTCGCTTGTAATAAGCTCTGAGATGCAGGAGAATCAGTAGAGGCTTTGTTTGTGCACGACTAACCCTGATTTTGACCAGTAGTGTCCATCTACTGATGCAAGCAACCAGGAAACAGCTCTGGCAGGCCCAAGGGACTTCCAAATCACAGGTCGGAAGCTGGAATAAGCCTGGTGGGCAACTATCCGTGTTGGAATCACAGACTCAAACCAGTGGCTCCTGTACACATTCACTGAGGTCTTGACACCTCCTCAATTCCATCCCGGGCATGTACTCAAGACCACCTAGAACAGGTCTGGCTTTGTCACCAACGAGGAGTCCATGGGGCTCCGGGTGGTCAGGGGCTGGCCGGTACTGTACTTGAATGTGTGTTTTTTTGGTTTAGTCTAAAATTGTGCATTTGGAAAGGGACGCTGAAGAGCTTGTTTCCATTTTCAGAAATGTTTAAGGAGAGAAACTTAGTGTTTGTGTTTGTGTGTGTGTGTGTGTGTGTGTATCCTGTGTATCCCCAAAGAGAACTCTAAGCTCAGCAGGGACCTACACCAAGTGGGCCTATAATGGTCTAGTATACATGCTCAGCACCCTACCTGGTTCCAATGAAATGCTCAGTCATTATTGCTGTTACTACTCCTCATGACAATACCCAGAAGTACCTCACACCCTCAGCAAAGTTCACATCTCTATTACTATGAGAATCATTTTGAAAATTGTTTATGCTCACCCTCCCGGCTAGAGCAAGGACTTCCAGAAGGCAGACCCTGTGCCTTTTATACCACACAAGTCCTAGTTTGCACCTGGCATTGTACAGAAGCTCAATGATGGTGAAACACCCATGATCTCTGCCTTAAAAGCAGCCTATCTTCTACAGCTGCAGGATACAATTAAATCTAACCATTATATTAACTTAGTAAAGGAGATGGCATAGTATATAAATAACTAGAATACTAAGAAAATATGTTTAAGACTATGAGTGAATTAAAAAGTATACAGGGGCTCAGAAGAGGCAATAATTATTCCAATCAGGAAGGCTGGGAATGGAGGCTTCGAGGAGGTAGATGTGGAATAAATAGGATGAAATCCTACATTCCTCCTTCCCTTGGACATCTTGGGTTGCTGTCGATATGGCTCTATTCTGGGGCTCTTCTCTTTCCAAGGAGTTGGCTGCACCCTTAGGCAGATATAGGCCAGCATGTGGAGCCCACATTGCCTCTCCTTTCTCAGTGAATTCCACACTATTTTAGGGCTTCAGTGGGTAGCGCTTCCACCTACACTGACCCCCTTCCCACTACTTCTTTAAGGACTTTTCTGGATGGCAGCTACAATTTCACTTGGGTTGGGAATGCTTGGGGTGATAAATTATCTATCCCTTCAAGAAAGCAGCGTGTTGGGGTGCCTGGGTGGCTCAGTTGGTTAAGCGTCTGACTCTTGGTTTTGGTTCAGGTCATGATCTCATGGTTTCAGAGTTTGAACCCTGCATCAGGCTCCAAGCTGACAGCCCAGACACTGCTTGGGATTCTCTCTCTTCCTCTCTCTTTGCTCCTCCCCTGCTCACACTTGTGTGTTCTTTCTCTTTCTGTCAAAATAAATTAAAAAAAAAAAAAGCAGCTTGTTGCTTCTTATAAAATATCCCTAAAATCCTTTTAGAGTGAGAAAGTTTGAAGAGAGATGGCTCCTAAATGTTCTTTGATTTTCACGATGTTAAACACTTAGTCTCCTGTTGTTTTTTTTTTAAATATTTTTATTTATTTCTAGGAGAGAGAGAGACAGCATGAGCAGGGGAGGGTCAGAGAGAGAGGGAGATACAGACTCAGAAACAGGCTCCAGGCTCTGAGCTGGCAGTCAGCACAGAGCCCGACGCGGGGCTCGAACCCACGAACTGCGAGATCATGACCTAAGCAAAAGTCGGACGCTTAACCGACTAAGCCACCCAGGCGCCCCTAGTCTCCTGTTTAACAAAATGACTTTGAGAAGCCGGAAGATCTAACAAGGCCAGGCCTGCATTTCTGTACAACACCAGATGGCTGGAAAGAGCAGAGGCTGTCCCCTTTGGAGGCATAGAAGCCCCCCAGACCATGTTAGGGATTTCAGATCTCTGCAGGCCTTGGCTGGATGGTTCCAGTCACAAGTGACTCCAGTGAAATTACCCAGAACTTTTACCGTATTTGTCACAAAAACACCCTAACAGCAGGGCTAGGGTGGGAACAGGATAATGCTCTCTGGGGACTTTGCTCCCTTCCCTAGTTTCCCATCCTACTCTCTCTGTGAAGTGTGGGGTAGGTTTACTGTTGCAGGCACCATCTCAGCAATTAGGAAGTCACTAGAGGTAATGGAAACAATAAGACTGGATGATTCTTCTCCCCACTGGATGACCATCTGGGGCTTGTTGCTCAAGGAAGTCAGAGGTGGCACAAGCCAGTTCACTTCCAAAGGCTGGACTGGCTTTCCGCTGCATGCCTCTTCCTTCATGAGCCCCAAGAACACATCCCAGTGTTGGCCACCTCAGGGTCGTATGATCCAGGACCAGACCCCAGGCTTGTTGAAGTCCCTCCCCTACTTAACTCCAATTTAATATCTAAGTTTCAATTCCCAGGGGTTCAGATTCTTTGCCTTAGGCCCATGAGTTTCTTTTCATAACAGTACTTTCATACTGTAGAAGCTCTGTCATTTATTTTTGAAAGTACAGACAATAAAAAGGGAGGGAAGAACCCACGCCATATCTCCTTGGAGACTATTACTCTTATTTTATATTTCTTATAAATATAAGAATATTATATATAATATATATCTTATATATATTATATATAAGATATATATTATCTTATATTTCTTATCTTACTTTCATATTTTTTATTTGCCAACATACAATACACCATTTTCTTAAATAAATATGGTCATATTGTACAATGTAGTATATTTTCACTTAGCACGCCAAATTGAATATTTCCCCACTTCTTCAGATAGTCTGTTACTAGACTGGCTATGCAGCATTTCATTGTATGAATGAACAGAATTAATTTAGCTAATCTTCTACCCTTGGATATTTAATACAGTTGTAAACTATGTAAGAGGAGAGAATGTTTATCCAATTATTTTTGCCACTGCCCTGAATGGGTGCAGTTTGAAACTGTATGTAGACTGGATCTCTGCTCTTAGGAGAGAAGGAGAACAGAATTTTTGTGAAGTGGCTTTTCAGAGAATAATCTCTATTGCCATTAATTTCCTCTCCTGGTGTATGTCACTAAGTGGAATACTCACTTTGTTTGGGAATACAGAATCAATGGGAAAGGTCATGAACACGCCTGTCAGAAAATCTGATGATATTCCTTTTTTTTTTTTTTTTTGCCTTTTACATATAACTCTCAAATGTATACAAAATCTGATGAAGGTTATGTGTGCTTCTAGCCAAAATAACTACTTGGCTACTTCAAAACTCCTTCTGCAGCTAAGTATTCAGGGACCATAACTACCCTGCCTTGCCAGAAAACATTCTGTTCTGAGAATCTGGGTCATGTAGTCTTTCAACACAGTTAAAAAGACAATACTCTACACAACTCCAACTGCAGGAGTCCAGGTCCTTTCTGACCGGGGTAACAGGTCTGTTTTTAACAGAGGTTGTTGTTAGGATTCCTGTGATGAAGCCGAGGGCATTCCAGGGAGGAAACACCATTTTTCTTGACATTTTGGCCAATATGAAATGGACTTTCTGTTCTAAACACAGTACTGGCCCAAGGGAAAGAGTGACTTCTTGAAGGAACTAAGGAAAGCAAATGTCTTCTACTCTAGCGTAGAAAAAGATGAGAGCTGAGATGGGTCGAGAAAGATTTTTCTCTCCAGCGACAAGGCTGGGGCAGTGTGTTAACCTTTAGGATCTTGGTCTCATCAACTGCACAAACAAGCTTGTAGTTTTCTCCCAAGGTTGTTATGAACATTAAATTGGAACATGTATATGAAGATTAAATTGGAATACTGAGTGGCTCAGCTGGTTGAGCGTCTGACTCTTGATTTCAGCTCAGGTCATGATCGAGCCCTCTGTTGCCTCTGTGCTAAGCGTAGAGCCTGCTTGGGATTCTCTCCCTCTCTCTCTGCCCCTCCCCTACTCATGCTCGCTCTCTCTCTCTCTCTCTCTCTCTCACTATCTCTCAAAATGAATAAGCAAACATTAAAAAAATTGGAACATGTATATTAAAATGCCCGACATGATGACTGACACCTAGTATTGACCCAATCAGTGTTAACTTCTTTTCCTCATGAAATATCAAAATTTACCATTCCCTGTGCTACATGCTGAAGATACAGAGATGAATAAAAACATCCTCAGTCCTTGTGGATTGCCTGGTACTCAATAAATATCCATGGAATAAGGTGAAGCAGCTCCAAGCCTGGTGGGAGAGATAGGTAACGTGTAACCAGGTGTACACAGGCTGATGTAATGTGTGAAGATGTGCACAGGCTGATGCGGAATCACAGGGGAAGGACTCCATCTTCTTTTTAGGGAAAACGAGGGGGAAGTACCAGATGATGGTTTTGATGGATGAGTAAAAGCTCATGTGGAGTAGAGAGAGGAGAGGATGGTGGTAGAAAATGGCAAAAGAAACAGAATGAGTAAAGGCAGAGATGGAAGAAATTATACAAGGTGTTTGGGGGACCATAAACGTAGCAGGAGAGGTATCCCAGATAGTCTGGGCTTTAGCATGAGATCAGTTCATCTTGGACTTTAACGTGCTAAAGAATCATCCAGGACAGTTAAAATGCCTGTACTGATTCAGTGGTATGCAGTAGGGCCTGAGATTCTGCTTTCCTAGCAAGTTCCTATGTGATGTAAGCAAATAGTCCATGGATAAGTAGCAAGGATTAGACAAAAGGGAATCAGCAGAGATCTTAAAGTTGTGACATAATTAGACTTATTTATGAGGAAGCACACTGGGCTACAGTGTGCAGGTTGGACTGGGGTTACAGGTACTTTTAAACATTCTTACTGGGACCACTATAGTATCCCTCATGACATAACACCAGAGGGCTGAAGACTCTTTGAATTCGAATAGGCCTTGGAGCGGATATGGCTGAAGTTCCTCTCTTTAGAGAATATGAAAGAGAACTTTTAACAGGTGACAAGACCGCCCCCGAGTCAGATAGCTAGTTGGTGGTAAAGCTGGGGGTCAAGAACCCAGATACTCTACCTAAAATCCACTTAATCATGTTCTTTCTGCCAACTTCCCCATTCCAGAACATCAACTTACATCCAGCACTGAATCTGATTATTTCTTGGAATTATGGAGAAAAAGGGGCACCTGGGTGGCTCAGTCAGTTAAGCGTCCGACTTCGGCTCAGGTCATGATCTCATGATTCATGGGTTTGAGCCCCACATCAGGCTCTGTGCTGACAGCTAGCTCAGAGCCTGGAGCCTGTTTCAGATTCTGTGTCTCCCTCTCTCTCTGACCGTCCCCTGCTCATGTTCTCTCTCTCAGAAATAAATTTTTAAAAAAATTAAAAAAAAAGAATTATGGAGAAAAAAAGGATGCAGGGGGATAGCTCTTGTTCAGCCATTCTCACTCATGGAGGTGGTGGCTTCCTTTATGAGCCAGGTTAGGAAAACTCCATGATGGCAGGTCACCTGGCAGAATTTCCAGGTATTTGATTCCACATGACCCTTCTTTCTATCTCCTGGAGACATGTCAGAAGTTCACATTGCCCTGTAGGCAAGTAGGCAAGAGCCCACCTGTCCTTGGTGGATCCTCCAACCTTGCCTTGTACCTACAGGAAGGCTTAGATCGGGCGGGCAGAAGGAGAAAGTGGAATTCATATAGCTTATACACCTACTATATGCTTTGCATTGATGTACATTTTAATTTTTTTAAGTTTATTTATTTGAGAGAGACAGAGAGTATGAGCATGAGCAGGGGAGGGGCAGAAAGGGAGAGACAGAATCCCAAGCAGCCCCATGTGGGGCTTGAACTCATGACCCCTGAGGTCATGACCTGAGCCAAAATTAAGAGTCAGAAGCTTAACCGACTGAGCCACCCAGGCTCTCTTTAATTTAACTTAATTTAATTCTTAAAAATTTTTTCTTTTTAGTTTATTTAGTTTTTGAGAGAGAAAGAGAGAGAGCGTGAGAGCGAGCAGGGGAGGGGCAAAGAGAGTGGGAGAATCCCAAGTAGGCTCCACACTGTCAGTGCAAAGCCTGATGCAGGGCTTGATTTCACAAACCGTGAGATCATAACCTGGGCTGAAACCGAGAGTTGGATGCTTAACTGACTGAGCCACCCAGGCACCCCCAAAAATGCATGCTTACTTTGATTTCACACATCAGGAAAGTGAAGTTTCTAGAAAGGAAAAGAGCTGATGAAAAAGGAAGAAACAGAGAAATGGAGACAGCACGGCCAGAGGTACTTGGGGAGCGGAGTAGGATCCAGAAAAGCAGAGTCCTTTATCTCTAATACATGGGGCCTGGTGTCCAGCAGAATGGGGAGGAAGAACACATTGACACTCTTGGTGAGTCCCAAATGAACAAATGAGTCTGTTCAAGAAGTCCCTCCTACGCTGAGGGTTTGGTTAAAAAGGTTAAAGCAGCATCAACCAGATGTAGTCCTCTGAGCTTGCAAACGGGATCCTAGTCAATAACAGGAAGTGAATCCTGCCTGCTCATGCAGTCACAGGATTTTTCTGTTTTATGGGGCCAACAGTGGCTAACACACGGACAAAGAGCTGACTTCAGACTTTCTTTGAACTTGTGGAAATGGAGAAGCAACAGGAAAAACACTGCTATGAACCACTGAGTATTCTCAATGCCATGTCAGCAAGAACTTGATTTAGACCTAGTAAAGACGTGTTTTTCAGGAAACTTAAAGATGGAGGTCTTAAACTCCAATGATCTGAGGGAAGACTATGATACGGCCAACTCTCAATGAGAATACAGAGTCCTAAGAAAATTCACCTTTTTAAAAAGGGGGTAGAGTTAAGGTTTACAAATTCAGCAACAGAAGACCAAAAAATAAATGCCATGCATAAAGGTATCTTAAATGCTCCATCATCTTTTTATTCCCGTCTGATGCCACAACAGTGGCTCAAACAAACTTACTGACCTAAGTGCTGTGTGACCCTGCACTGAGCACCTCACTTGAACACCTGTAACTCCACCATGCAGGTTAATCATCATTGCATTTTATAAAGAAAGAAAGAAGCAGCTTAAAGAAGCCAGAATTCTGGCTGTTTTTGGCAGACTTACCCTTCTAACATGTCAAAAGCATTTAGACCCAGGCAGATAAATCCCCTTTTTGTTAATGCCAATGTCAGGGAGGAGTTACACGTCACATGTGAACACCTAGATAATGTGACCATTATCTGCTAGGACTGAGCAAAGGGCCTGCCATAACATTCATCTGGAAGTTATAAAACTTGCTTGGATAATGAGTTCTCAGCAACAATCTGTTGTTATGTCGTATTCCTGCAGGCTCCCAACATTTAACCAATGCCGAAATGAGATTATAAACATACAAAGGGGTCCATCTTGCAGCCACGTGCCCCATTTTCCTCAGCGGAGGACACTTTTATCACATCTACGAATAGCTTGGGGTAGAATCATGCAGCTCTCTAGGGATAGGATCTAGAGAGGCCAGGCCAGGGCTTAATAGCAAATCCTGCTAAAATGAGATTTTCCTCATCCAGTTCCACCGGCCTTATTTGGAAAAGTGAGGGCTCTGATGAAATACAAAGAGAATTTACTTTCTGGAGCTACAGACGCTGGGAGAAAGGCAGCATGCCACATCGTACCTTCTGTCTTTCTGTACAGTCTGCGATACAGAGACCTTTTCTCTGACTTGGGGTCAGAAACAGTGCAGGGGGGGATGACTGACAGAAGCTGCCATTTGGCAACAGTATCACAGAGGTGCACAGTCTAAGTGACTGCTATTGTAGAGAATTTCTGTCCATGTTGGTGGAGTGAAAACAGATCCCCTTAGACCCCAAATGATAGTTACCCATGCTCAGTCATCGGTGTGATGGTTGCAGCAACAAGACCTTGAAGTTTCTTCTTTGGGGAGGCCATTGAGCTGCTTGAAACAGTCTGCAAAACATACAATGTAATTCCTTCCTTCTTCAACGAATGTCAATTAATGATCAAACCCCCAGGCAAAGTCCATTCCCAGTTTAAAACTGTGAAAAATGCTTACAAGTATGCAAACCCAGAGCAAATGAAGAGAATGTAAAGTGTAGAGCTTAATTCTGCAGAGGAGGAGACTATTTTTAAAGACAGGAGAGGGGGGAGACAAGAAGGGAGCAGTGTTTGGGAAAATACTATCAGAAAGGCCTCCCACTTTGTCTATACAGGTAATTCAGGCAGTCTGAAACCTCACAGAGATGCGGTGAATGACAGCAGGCCCAAGAAAGACCATGAATCTAACTCAGGGAGATCATATATATAAAAAAATTACTATTACTTAAATTGAAATATGGTCGGGAGAAAAGGGACACTCTTTTGTTTTATCATATCTTCATTCTTTAAAGCAAGAATCTCACCCAAAACCAGCACTTGCAGTATTAAGGCTTCTGTGTGATCTACTTAATGATCTTCAGATTTACCTAACTATGCTTGAAAATTCTAATTTTGATCGGTTTTGCCCTCTTTTCCTAGCTTTAGTAGACTATGTACACTGTATCATAATTGTTTATTCATCTTTCCCCCACTAGATCAAGCTTCCTAGGACAGGAAATACCTTTCCTTTGCCTTTGATTTCCCTGCACTGAGTTACCTGCTGGATTTGTGTTCAATTAAAAGGTAATGAATACGTGGGTAATTGAATGAGGTGTTCGGACTGTAGCTGGATGACAACTTCCACAGACAGGGAGATCACTGCTTAGAAACCCAACCTGATCCCACTCATGTGGGGCCAAAGGATCACTCACCATCTGGTAGAGTACACCCATCCATACCAGCATAAAAAGCCAAGAGATTGCCAAAAACAGGCAATGAGAGGCAACAGAGTGTGCTAGTTAATAGCTTGGATTCCACAAGCTGACTGCCTGGTTCAACTCTCAGCTTTGCCACTTAACTAGTTACAGAACTGTTATTATTTTTTGAGCTGTAAGACATAAATTTTTTTTTTTTAATTTCTAGGAGAGAGAGAGAGAGAGAGACAGCGTGAGCAGGGGAGGGTCAGAGAGAGAGGGAGTCACAGACTGAAACAGGCTCCAGGCTCTGAGCTGGCAGTCAGCACAGAGCCCGACGCGGGGCTCGAACCCACGAACCGCGAGATCATGACCTAAGCGAAAGTCGGACGCTTAACCGACTAAGCCACCCAGGCGCCCCTGTAAGACATAAAAATTTGAAGCCATGAATGCAAAGTCTAACAACTGAAGAAAAAATAAAATATAACCAGATAGTATTTGGTGACAGACAAAAAGATGGTTGGCTTAGGGCAAAAACAGTGATGTCTATAGGTAATGGACAAGTTGGGGTATATTACAGGTCTGAGGTCACTGGCACATTTAAAAACACAGTGTTCACTATACTTAAATTTGATCCGCACAACATAATAATTACGAACTGTCTCATTTTGTTTGCTCTTTATAACTGTTAGCCTCATTTTCCCAAATAGTAGTATATACTTATTTGTTACAGAGATCGTATCTTTTATTTTTTTTTTTTGTATCCCCCAGGAGTTCTGACTCAGGTGAGCCCTGGAAGCCAGAAACAAGACAAAACAAAGATAGAGATATGAAAGGGCACACATTAGCAAAATTTACTGCTTTTATAGAAAGCTGACGTGATATCTCCCCTTACAGATACATTGTTAGCAAGACTTGCTCCTGAAATTAAGCCCAAATCCTTCAAGTAGTTTTGCTCTGTACTGAAGCACAGAAGGGGAAGGACATAAAGGGGAACCTTACATGATATATGGGATACTAGGATTTTTCTGCCTTGTCCTAGTTTGAAGAGGAGACTAAAATCCTGTTGGACGTTTTGAAACATAAATGTAATCACCTGGCCCATGGGGAAAACACAAGGCCAATCCCAGAGGAATGTCTGTGCATTAAAGGAGATGGATGCCATGCCTGTTGCCTATCTTCACCTGGCACTCCCGAAAGCATCTGAACTCAAGACACCTCAGACTGAATCTACCACCATCTCCGATGATTTCTTCCTTTGATCCTTACAGGGGAGGAGGTGGAGCGTGAGCTCTGGAGTCAGACATCATGGGTCCGCATTCTGGCTCCACCACTTCCCAGGGGGACGAGCCTGGAAGTGTTATTTACCTTCTCTGCGCTTCAGTGTTCACTCTTGTCAATAACAGCCTTATTTCATAGGTTGTCGAGAATTAAACGGATTCTTGCAGGATGATTAACAACAGCACCAGGCACGCTGTAAGTACAAGTATACAAGTACGAAGTCGAGCCAGATGGCTACAGGACATTAGCAAGGATTTTTTTTTTTTTTTTTTTTTTTTTTTTTTTTACCAGCACCCTGCCTCTCATCTTCCTTCCCTGCAATCCTTCCCTGCCCCCTACTCCCTCTCTCATAACCTACCCTTTATCATCTCTTATCTAGACCAGCAGGCACAACCCCAGGTCTAAGAGGCCCCAAGGGGCTGAAGAAGGTTCAAAAGATATGAGCCTCAAGAGCTAGAGTCAGCACCAAAAGTCTAATTCAAACAGTGCTAGGCTGTTCACATTAGACGTCTGTATTCTGAGCTTTTAGTTACACTTATTTCATACTCTGGCAGCTACAATGATGCTCTTAGGATCATCCGAAGCTTGGATGGGTAGTTTTATGTATGCCCTTGATCGAAAGAAATAGAATTAAGTGCATGTAAATGCAATTTGATTACAAAATCTCAAAAACATAGAGCCTGTAGGGATGTGGGGTCAGAGTCGGGAATTACTGCCTTAATCCCCACTCTCCTCCTCCAACCCACGTAGGCTGCCTGGTTAATCTCCTAGAAACACAGACATTTCTGTTCCTGCCTTGGCCCAGCTCAGGAAATGCTAACAACTTCCCCTGGCCTCTGTAGGAGAAATACCTAACTTCCTGGGCCAGATCTCTGCATAAATCTCTTCATGCCAGAAGAGCACTAAGCTCCTGTTTCCTGCTGCACCTCCCTGCCTTCTCCCCTCTGGCCTGCTTCCTTTGATGTTATCCCATCTGGAATGACTTTATCTCCCACTTCAGCCCCTTGAGTCTAGACAACTCTTAAAACTCACCGTACAAGCTAAAGAACATTCCCTGATCTCCCAAGAGGAAGATAGTTTCTTACTCCTCAAAATTCCCTCAAACACTTCCTTTTCCTTAAAAATGCTGCATGTTATTAACAGGGTAGTTTTGGCTCCTCTTCTACAGTGTATGCCACCAGGGGGCAGGAACAGCTTCAAAAAAATCTGCGCTGAGCAATATACTGAAAAAGCAAAATTTGCTGACTTTGTTAAAGCTGAATTTCCAGGAAGAGATGGGGCAAAAGATCACAAAACTTTAACAGATGATTGATATTTTGTACATTCGAATTTTAAATAAACGTGTTGATGTCAAGCTTTGGCATTCTTTGTAGCAAGTGGTCAGAATGTTCTCTACCCTAAGGCTCAATGTGAATTTAGAATGTTAACAGAGATGCTGGGAAGGGGGCATTCCTCTTAGAAACCTGCATCTCTGGGGCGCCTGGGTGGCTTAGTCGGTTGGGCGTCCGACTTTCGCTTGGGTCACGGTCTCGCGATTCGTGGGTTCGAGCCCCGCGTCGGGCTCTGTGCTGACTGCCAGCTCAGAGCCTGGAGCCTATTTCGGAGTCTGTATCTCCCTCTCTCTCTGACCCTCCCCTGCTCACGCTGTCTCTCTCTCTCTCTCTCCTAGAAATAAAAAAGAAAGAAAGAAAGAAAGAAACCTGCATCTCTGTCCACAGACAACACTTAGTACAAAGACTTCAAGTCAAATCCGTAAAAGAGCGAAGTTAAAAAAAAATCTCTGGGGGAGAAAGAGGTTGCACTCCTGGGCATGGTGAATGATTCGAGATATATGTGAAAAACAAGGAAGAGAAATGGAGAAACGAAAGAAAGCCACATCGCAGAAATATAAACAAGTTCCCATAAAATGAAGGGATTGGATTAAATGCAATTGTTAAAGTTTGTTCCACTCCACAGCTGACTCGGGTCACTGAAGAAAGGATCCTTGGGGAAGGCTATGCGGCCGGGAAAGAATCCAGGGGAGTGGTCCCTCTGTGCAGACGCCTGCCCCCAGGCCGGGAGGGACCATCGCGTTCGCACTTCTCTCTAGCCCCACATCCCAGCTTTTCTGCCCTCCCTCTCCTCCGGGTCGTCCCCGCGCCCAGCCCCGAGTCCCGTCCCCGCGCCCCTCTGCCCCCCATCCCGGATGGGCTGCCGGTCTCCGGCCGCCCGGCCGCCCCGCGCGGGCCGCGCTCACCAGAGAAGCCCGGATCCGCCCGGGTCGCCTGTCGGGCGCCGCCGCTCGCCGTGGGGCCTCGGCCTCTCTCGCCTCCGCGGCCGCGCGGCCCCGCACCACGTGCCCGCGCGCCCCGCACGCCCCAGCCGCGGCGCACACCTGCGGTTCCGCCTCCCTCCTCGTTACAGACGGGCGTGCGGGAGGCGCGGGACCGCGAACTTCCGAGCCTGCACGTCCGGAGCCGCCGCGCGTATTTACGCGCACCCGGATTCCGCGCGGCGAACCTCTTCCTTCTCCTTTCGCTGCGCGGGTCCTTCCGCCCGCGGGTGCCTCCTGGGCGCCTGGGCGCCTTAACTTCTGTCCAGCGCCCGGCGGCAGCTACAGGTATTTCGTGGTTGTGGGCTTAGAAATTTGGGCTGCCTGCCAGTCGGGGAATCTGTGCTTTTCGGGCTGGTGCCGCTGCCCCAAGCCCGCACGCCCTCGTGTGCAAAGGCTGTGGACGGATATTAAAATTGGATTAGTTACTATAGCAGCAGCTTTCCTGCGTATCCTGGAGAACAACTGAAAGAGTTTTGAACGGGATAATTATTTTTAAACAAAATATCTCTACTTGCGAGAATGTCAAGAATTTTCTTTCTAGTGTCACGTGCTGTGCTGATACATCGGAAACATAGACAAACCCTCAGCTTTCTCTTGTTAACGTGCGTTATCGTCAATTTTCCATAAAAGGCCTATGCTTAATTCATTTAGGGAAAATAAATTTCCCTTAGGGCTTTCTAGTTTGCAGCGTGCTTTTAAATCCATTAGAGAAGTTCTTTCATTGCACTCAGCTCCAGAAATTAATTCATTAATCAATTCATAAAACCACCCTTGGTCGTGGGTACTATTTTTTAAAGTCATATTTTACAGTTGCGGAAGCCTCATCTCATTCTTTAAGTTTATCTATTTTGAGAGAGAGGGAGTGCAAGTGGAGGAAGGGCAGAGAGAGAGGGAGAGGGAATTCCACGCAGGCTCCACACTGCCGGTGCAGGGCCCAGTGTGGGGCTTGAACTCACAGTGAGATCATGACCTCAGCCAAAGGCCCAGGCTTAACCAGCTGAGCCATCCAGGTACTCTAGCACCACCCCATTCTAAAGATCAGAAAAACAAAGTTTTTTTTTAAATGAGTTTAAGTGATTTGCCAAAGGCCACAGTGCCCATGAGTAGCTGAGTTGCAATTTGGTTTCAAGTAGTCCGGGAGATGATACTTTTAACCACTACTCTGTTTTCCTGCAAAAGAGGAATGGAAAAGTCCTAGTTATGTTTGTCTTGGAATGTTAACAGGATATTATATCCTAATGGGACGTTAGTGATTTTTTTTTTCAAAGTCATACTTTAATACAAGCAAAATTAAGTATTTTAGTACCCAAAAGGTATACGATACTAGGCTTAATATTGTCAACCAATAAACCAATATGCTAAATGAATCAACTACTGTTTATATACATGTAGTAGGACAAAGCAGTGCTTTATAATAGTGTGTTAGGGTTTGCTAAGAAACACTAGGGATCCCCCCTAAGATCTCCCTGGGGATTTGATGTGCAGGAAGTATACTGGGCCAGGGACCCAGGGAGAAGGCAGGGAGAGCCTTGATCATCATACAGGGCTGACACCTGTGGTAGAAGCTATGGGAAGAAAAGGGTGGGGAAGGGTCTCACTAGAATGGTGGAGGGGAGCATCGTAGTCTCCATTATATGCCCTTCAACTCACAGCCTCTCCAATGAATTGTGGGGAAGACATTTACCTTTAAAAGTATGTATGCTGGTAAAAAGATATAAAACACTGAGAAGGGAAGACTCTGATCTGGGCAGAGGGGTGAGTGTGTGGGTATGATGAGGCGGGAGAGTGTTTCTGAAGTCTTCCTGGGGGAGGCTGACACTTGACTATCTTAGGCAGGGAGTAGGCCTCAGAAGAGGGGAGAGGCAGCCAAGGTTCACTGCTGGCCTGAAGTCCTCTAACACTTGTCTGATAAGTGGCAAGGGCTCTGTGGCCTTTCTTCTATTGTTGCATAGTATTATGTAATTATTATTACTTAAAATTTTTTTAACAATTACTTATTTTTGAGAGACAGAGTGAGACAGAGCGTGAGTGGAGGAAAGGCAGAGAGAGAAGGAGACACAGAATCTGAAGCAGGCTCCAGGCTCTGATCAAGCCTTCAGCACAGAGCTCAATGTGGGGCTTGAACCCACAAACCGTGAGATCATGACCTGAGCTGAAGTCGGACACTTACCCGACTGAGCCACCAAGGCGCCCCAATTATTATTCTTGCCCTCTCACTCCACTTCGAGGTGCTCAAGGCAGGTACCATGTCCAACTCTCTTTTGTTTTAAAAAAATATATTGGGGTTCCTCATCGTATTGTGTTCACTACAATTCAAGCTTGAAACTCAGTGATGTGGAGAAAAGGGCTTGGGGGGATACAGTACCCTGTAATTGATCACACTGGCCACACATTCCATCCTTGGTGCCACAGTGGAGCCTTATCACAGTTTTCTGAGTGGACTTGAGGAAAAGGTGGCTTCCCAGAAAGGTTCCTCTTACCTTCTTGTCTTGGTGCTGAAATGTTCTAGTACCAGTTCCACTGTGTGGGAGGTGTTCCCCTCACTAAGAAGGTATAGTTCTCTGATGGCAGCTGGGTGTCCTAGAATTTAACTCCATTCTGATACTATCTACAGACAGATAGCCTCAAATTTCACAGCTTAAGGGTTTAATCATAGAAATCTGCCCTCCCTTCAATTTTGGAGAAGGTTGGGGATGGAACTGAAAGTTTCAAACTTCTAATCACATGGTTGATTCTCTTGGCAACCAGCCCCCATCCTAAGATGCTTTCAAAAAGTCACCTCATTAACATAACAAAAGACATTCATTGCTCTCATCTCTTCAGAAATGTCAAGGGTTTTAGAAGATCTGTGCCAGAAATGGAAGACCAAATTTACAGTTTTTATTATGGGTGACAATATTACAGTTGTCCTTACCAGGAAAGAGGAAATGGATTGTAGGCAGCCAGAATACTGCTATATTGGGGAATGTTCATGAAGGAGGGAGAATGTAATTTGGATCTTGAAGGATTGCTCTCCATCGTGGGCCTGAAAAACTTCTGTCCACGGTTAGCAAGAAGAGTCCTTTGCATTCTATGTATAGACATGTAGTTATATGGTATGAGAATCACTCCTGGAAATTCTAGTTGTGTGGGTATGCTGCTAGGGCTGGTAGAAAAGCAGTTTATATTTGCATCAAAGTCCAGAGATCTTCAGAGAAGGGAGACTGGGAGTTGGACAGATTGCTAGTCCCCAGGACTAAGACCCTTCCCTTTTAGAGTTTAATTTCTGAGACTGAGTACCAACTGGTAGAAGGACATCTCTTAAGGGGAGAAAAGTCCTGTGCATAAGGTGGGTTTCAGAGAATCCCTCGGGGTCACAGGAAGGGAGAGTTTTGAGAGTAGTTATGCTCAATTGATTCCTGGCTCAGGCCTTTGGTGAATGCATATTAAGTTCCAGCCTGAAGGAAAAAGTGAACAGAAGATGTACTTCCATATTTGATGTTCTTAACCCGGGTTCTGTGCCTCCAGATTTTTATTTTTAATAACAATTATCTTTTAATAATACTATCTTTACTGAGATACTATTCAGTTCTATGCAATCCACCCATTTTTTAATGGTTTGTTTTTTTTTTTTAATTTCTAGGAGAGAGAGAGAGAGACAGTGTGAGCAGGGGAGGGTCAGAGAGAGAGGAAGTCACAGACTGAAACAGGCTCCAGGCTCTGAGCTGGCAGTCAGCACAGAGCCCAACACAGGGCTTGAACCCACGAACCGCGAGATCATGACCTAAGCGAAAGTCGGACGCTTAACCGACTAAGCCACCCAGGCGCCCCTACAATCCACCCATTTTAAGCATATGGATGTTCAACATTCTTTACTATTTCACAAAGTTGTGCAATTATTGCCACAGTCAATTTTAGAACATTTTCATGCCCCCTACCCCCCGCAATAACCCATCCGTGTTAGCAGTCATGCCCCGTTCCTTTCTTCCTCCTGGTCCCCAGCTCTAAGCAAACTTTAGTCTTTCTGTTTTTGTAGATTTGCCTGTTCTGGACATTTCATATAAATGGAATCATGCATGATGTAGTCCTTTGCACCTGGCTTCTTTTCCTTAGTGTAGTATTTTCAAGGTTCATCCATATTGCAGCAGGAATCTACTTCATCCTTTTCATACCCACATAATATTCCATTGATGGGTATACCACATTTTATTCATTCATTGGTTCATAATGAACATTTGAGTTCTTTCCATTTTTTTGCTATTATGAATAATGCTACTATTGTGATTGCAGATTTTAGACCCCTTGGAATATTGTCGGCATCTTTTTTCCAGTGGAGTTAGCTTATAGCATTCTGACCTCAATTTAGTTTTTCAGAAGCCCCAGGTCCTTACCAAAATCAGGGCTTTTACACTTGCCTGGGCTGCTCCTCTTCAGGCTGACTGCTACTCCTCCTTCAGTAATGGCTCAGACATAACCCTCTTGAGAAGCTGACTTGTGCAGACCATCCTCCTAGCACCCCATGCTTCCCATTCCTATCATGACTTGCTAGTGCGCTTGGTTCTTCCCATTAGTTGGTAAGCTTTTTGAGGACAGTGGTCTGTCTGTTCTATTCCTCGGGATATATCTAGTGCCTGCTACATGGTAGGCACTCAATAAGTAGTTGAAATAGTACTCAATAAAGAATGAGTGTTGGTAACTGACAGAGGTATCCTAGCTCTGTTGCCAGACCATAGCCTTTTGCACTGATGGGAGGAGGGTACTGCCTCATTGACTGGTGTCCATACAAAAATAAGGACCCCTGTGGCCAAGAGGGGTAGTGTCAACACAGAGAACAAGACATTGAGGACACAGGGACGAGATAAAGAGAACTGTAGTGTCTCTCTGAGAGCATGAAGGGAGGGATTCCTGATGAATATTAAATCTGGGGGATGTTTCCTTGTTGCTCACTTTGAGACCTCTTTCTGTATTGTATGTATGGAATGACATGCCAATGGGTTACCCACATTGATCTATCGTTCTCTAATAACTGGAAAACCCTTTGAAAATTTGGGCCTAGTTTGATACTAGCAAGGGGAAGGTGTGAGGGGGCCATAGTCTGAAAACAGAAAAGGAAGTTAATAATATTAATTTTGGTTGGCCAGGCTTCTTTGACAATATTCAGATACATACAGAGGCAGAACTTCCTTTTGAAGGATGTTCGGCCTGTGTTAGGTATTACCTGATGAGCATGAGGCTGTTGGGAAGTACACAAGTGAGTCTGGTCCACTTGTAACGGTATTCTGTAAGGTTCCTCGGGCATCTAAAGAGAATTAAACACATCCAAAAGCTTCCCAAAGCTCAGTAGCTGCTCATATTATGAGTTAGGTAAGAATTCACCACTAGGTGACAGTCTGTTAGCAGAAATTGCCTTCTCATTTAATGACTTCCCCCAACTGAAAGTTTCTGGGAATATCAGTAA